AAAATTATTTATCAATCAATACATAAATAGGCATTAATTCAAATAAATCCTAATTGTTAAAATATAATCACTTTCCAATTAATGACTGATCAACAGAGATGGGTAGTAACTAGTTAAAATGTTAAAAGTTGAAAAAAAAGTTAAAGTTAAAAAGTTAATAACTTTTAATTTACCTTAGTTAATTTTAATTAATTAATGGATTAATTTTTAACTTAATTTAGTTACTTTTAAACTTTAATTTATCAACTTTTTTTAAATTAAAAATTTTTCTATCTCTCTTAATGCTAATGTTTTTTTTCTATAAAGTCAAACATTAGAGAATTAATTTAGAGAGTTAAAAGTTTAATGATTTTATGATGATCTATAATAACAGTCACATTATATGGTAATCAGCTTTTATTGATTTGCTAAATGTAAATTCCCGCTTATATTTAAATCACACTAATTTTAGGTATTATAAATGTTATATTTCAGCAACATAAATATACCTTAGAAGAAATAAACCTTAGAAGAATTGTTGTAGAACAGTAGTAAATTTTTATATATATTTTTTGTAACAAATATATGTCTAGTCTATGTAATCGTAAACATGTATGAGTAGTCGTTTCAAAGTTAAAGAAAGTTAAAGGTTAAAAAAAGAGAAATAATGCAAACATATACCATTCTCTTTCGCAAGATCTTAACAAAAACGCCTTATAGTATGACTCTTATATGAGTAACTTACATGTGAATATAAAATTAAATTTACTTAATAATAAAAATAAATTTATATTTGTAAGTGTTATTTAAAGTAATCTCAATTTAAGAAAAATTAGGACATTCTAATCTCAAAAATAATTTTTTTTAAATTAATTTTTTTAAACTTAAGTTAATTCAATCTTAACTTAACTTTTATTAAGTTAATTCTTTATTCCTTCAACTTTTAACTTAATTTTATTAATTTTATAAGCCATTAACTTTAATTTAATTAAATTTAAAAAAACATTAACTTACCCAACTTTGCTGATCAATAATCACATTTTGTCTTCAGTACTTTTATTATTAATTAATTTGATTATTCATAAATCTTGATTATATGTATATAGCAATATAATATAAAATAAATCGAAATAACTCACGTTAACATTCAATAGCACTTGTATGAAATTTAACGTAGTCATCAGAACTTTGCATTGTAACGCCTGCAGCTGTTCGAGTTCTTTAGATTTCATTGTGGTCGCAGCTGTTCCCATCGAAGACTCTTCAATTAATCGCCAGAATTGACAAGCAAAACTATGAATGTGGGAGAAAATTTGTTGCTCGGCTATATCAGCGGGAAAGAATTTTTCTACCGGCAGCAATTCCTTGTTTATCAACCACATGTAATAATCTAGAGCTTTCAATAGCGGCGTTATATTACTAGCCATGGAAATATCCTTTACGCCCGATTCTAAGCCTTTCAAGATGATATTGTTCAGATGTTTTATTCCATAAGTATGAACGAAGTTCTGCGTCGTTTCCTGTGCGTAACTATCGATATGCTGCGACACGTTAACGTACAGCTCCATGCATTTCGCACGGCAATGCTCGTCGAGATTTCCGCACTGTGACAGCAACCAGTACAGAGTGTAGGTCAGAGTCGCGTCATCGAGCTCATGTTTTTGACGATGCAAATTGGGCATTTTTAGAATTTCCGCCTTGACTTTCATTACTCTCTCGATATGAGCCAGTGCCTTCATGATTGACGGATCGTTGCATCCTTCTAAGCTGCGGACAAAACAATAGAATATTTCCAGCCAATAAGTTGACACTGTGTCGTTTTCCTCACGTAGAATCACATAGAGATGATTGAAGGCTACGGCTGCGGCTATGCGTTTACGCGCCAAGGGATGCAATGCGAGATTATTGATCTTTTCGATGATCGTATGCACATGTTGCACCCTGTTTGTTGCGCTCTGTCTGATGAACAAATTGATTTATCAATCGCTGATATTGAGATTTGCCTTAAAAAAAAAATTATAAAAACCTAAATCGCAATGAGATACCTGATTGACCAGCGCGTGAATTCTGCAAGACACATGCCGGAGAACTCGCGCAAAGCTGGATTCGAGTCATTGGTCAAACTATCAAACAATGAATCGATCACCAAGGACATTGATTCGAGACTGGAGCTCCACAAGTGCATCAGCTGCAACGCCAGTGGACGGAAGAGGCCGCATACGACTTCGTCTGAGTCGCAACCGAGGGCTAGCACGGCCTGACATAAAGTGCTATAGAGAGTGGGGAAGCGAGTCTTCGAATCGGAGTTCCTCGAGTACGAAAGTGAGCCAATGATGATAGCTATCATTGAATGTAGAACCTCGCAAGCTGCAATCTTCGTGCGCCGATCGCTGGAGTCGCGCGCTAACTCAATTACCCGTGGTAGCATCCGGTCGAAATGGATAACCAGTTCTGCATCTGGCAGTAATAGACTGTACTTGCAAATCTTGGAGAGTTCCTTATAATCCCAGGACGCTCCAGTATTACGGGAAGCATGCTCGTGCACAAAACTCGTTAACATATCGTGATTAAGCGATCCAAGGAACAGCAAAACTCGCCGCTGGTAGTTTCGCAACGTGTGATCTGTGTTGATCACATCAACACGTTTTACGCGCTTTCTCGCTACCATCAAGTCTTGTGAGATCTCAACGGAGCTCTCTGTGCTGCGCAAGTAAGGTTCCAAGTATACGATGATTTCACGTAATAGATCATTTATTTGTTCATCTTGTTTCTGTTCCTGTACCTTTGTTGTCCATATCTCGAGGGCAGTGAGCGCGCTATACGCGAGTTCCAGATTGTTCAGACCCGCAGTGAACGCGATCTTAAACATCGGCAGTGTGCACGGCAGCGCATTTTTGACATACGCAAAAGGTGCGTCCAGGATCAAGTAGAGGCACGCGATCAGTAATTCATTGGAGAACGCAGGGATTAGATCGAGAGTGTGCCATAAGTAATTAGATAGAAGCTCCTCTATCCGTCGCGACTCTGCGCTTTTCTCCTCTTCTTCGTCCTTTGATGTATGAGTAAAAACTTTCATACCGGCCCGAATCAGTTTATAGAAACCGGATATCAGTGGATATTTGTACGACAATCGAATGACTTCATAGAGAAATCTGTGTATGGTATTGGCCAACAACTGCGGTTCTGATGCATCGATCACGTCTACATAGAGATCCACAACATTCGTGAACACGCGGAAATCCGCTTGATTCACGGCGCTTTGAGTCAGAGCCACGTCGGACAACACGGTGTCCTCATTTCTTCGTTTCACATTTATGTTCAGCTGATTAATTAACGTAATGCATACGTCTATCATAGTGTTAGCTACATATTGCGCTAATTGTTCTTGTCCACAGTATCTCTTAGTGTTCAACAGCTCCGTCCACAGCGGCAGGTAGTTCTTGTAGCATACTGGCGATTGTTTCAGATTGTTTAATTCCCGTTGCAACTCCGCGTCAAGCGCCAAAGTGTGCGAGCAACTCCATGCAATACCGTCATAAACTGATTACAAAAACGAGATTTTAATATTTTTCGGAAAAAACTTCATTATTAACATATAATTATTCTTTAAGTAATTCTGAATAAAAATATTATGTCAAATTTTCTTTGAAAATTATTTAAATATAAAATTTTTCTTCAAAGATCATTTGATTTATTTACCTATACTGTCAAGGTATCGCTGCAGTAGAGCTTTATCAACGATCACAAGATTGCTGATAGTTTTAGTCAATGTTGAAATGGCGAGCGCGTTGTTAGATATTGCTAAATCGGGGAATCTCTTGATCACATAGATACTAAGCTTTATGAGGATGTTAATATTTTCAATTGTAACATCAGTCATGTGACGTAGTATTTCTGAGAGCGCTTCTTGATAACAACAGATGCTTTCTATGTGCGTCGAATGGCTATGTTCTCTTGAAAAATAAATTATTTGTTACTATATTATTAATATAAAAAAATTTCAATATAAATCATTTAAAATTATTCTTATACCTAAAATATCTTACCTGGAACAAAGAGGAAGCGCATAACTGGTTGTAATGGAATACATATGTCTTACTTCGAATTGAGTCATGTGCACTTTGCATGGTGCAGCCATTTGACTGAAGCCATAAACGATTAATCGCAATGTGGTTAAATTTAAGTTAGTTTTTTTGAATTCTCTGTAAAAATATTCCACAAATTTCTAAAATAAAAAAACATCAAATTATAAAGGAATTAACTGAAGAATATAATTTTATTATCTATTACGTTCTATAATAAATTTAGAGGAAATAAGCACAACAGAGAAGCTATCAGCGTCAGGACTGTGTGGCTCAGTGGCAGGACGGAAGTCTACCATTACGGAAGAGACTAAGGGCGCTATTCTGTAACTGTTTTACACGCCGACAGTTATCGGTGTCGGTAAGCAGTAGACAGTTACAGAATAGCACCCCAGGCCTTAGTTCGAATCTCGGAGTGCCCTGATATTTTTCTCGTGTTGTCGCTTATTTTTTATAATTTTTTAAGATTCAGTTCACGAGAATTTCTTGTTAGTCACGAATAACAAATTAAAATGTTTTGTTTATTTAATATAATGTCTTACCACCAATATTTCGCTCTCGTTACTATTTTGATTTGTAAGAATCTGTCCGATAACTTGGTAAAATCTTTTCAATGCGCGTTGTCCATAAATACTATAAGTAGTTGTTTTGAGCGATAAGCGTCGAAAGATATCATGCCAGTATATGCAATCAGGATACAGTAAGTCTTGAAATAGATTCATATGACGACACAAAAAATCGATTGCCGATTTCGTAACTGTTCTGACCCTCTCATCATCTCCTTGTTGTTTATTGCATTGACTAAGATCCTTGATCCACTTATACGAATCAGAGAGTCTCTTATCCTTTAATGCATTTAGTGGTTCCACTACACCATCTAATATGTCCGCGAGAGCATCAAAATACATATAGAAGTCATTGCGTACGTTGATTTTAGAATCATACTGCACATAAAATTATTAGAATATCATGTAAATTATTAGTTTCCCAAAATTAATAAATTATTTCACAATTAAGTTTATGGATCATTACTGTCGACTTTACCTCATCACGTGCATCATAATATAGTTGTTGGAAAATAACATCTAAATAGTTCTGCGACGAGCGAATACTTTCAACATATTTAATTATTTTACCCAGTACACAGAATATAAATCTTTTTTCTACAACAAAAATTGATATTACATTTTGTAATTTAAATCAAATAATGTGTTCTCACCTTTCTTGTCATAATTATGGAATGCCCGACAATAGTTACGAACTGTTTCGTCAAATTTTAAGTCATGATCCTTGAATAATTCTATTAATTTTATAAAAGCATTATGAGCAGCTTTTTTGGTAAAACAATGAAGTTTTACTTTTAGTCCTAACTGACATACATTCTGCAACATATCATAATATAGAAATATTATTATAATTAAATTATAAGATATTAATATGTATATAAAAAATATGACATCAAATCTTCTCAGTCCTCTATTACAAGATACTATTTATTACTAACAGAGATGATATTATATTAAATTTTCTAATCATTAGGTACTACTAATCACTAATATTTTCAACTACTATTAACATTTGTTAAATAAATAATATCAATGTATGATAGATCTTACCTTAATTTCATGAATATATTGTGTGAAACAGGGGGTAGTATAAAAATTGTTAATGAAAAATGTAAGAAAATTAAATGCTTCTGTTAGCGTATCATCAACGTGTTTGTTTTGAATTCGATGTGGAAGTTCATAATTGAGGAAATACAGCAAGCCATTATTTTTGTCAAATATGCTGCATACAATTAATTCTAAAAAAACAAAACAAATAAATTATTATAATATACAGATAAATTATTGCATAATCAATTATATATATATATATATATATATACAATATAACTTTAATTATGTTCATAATTTTTTAAATTATTCCTTTATTAGGCTTTTAAAAATTTTGAGTGTAAATTTATAAAAAAAATAGTCTCTATGATATTCAAATATAACACAAAGTGAATAAGAAACATTTAGTTTTTCATAAAATATTGTTATATATCATATGTATTTTTATATTTACATAATTAATATTTACCACGATGTTCGAGTGAAACAATTGCGAGGGATGTGTGACCACTCCTAAAAATATTCGGCAAATCTGTGAAATTTCTAGTGGATACAGCCTGTTTGAATGTCTGCACAAAGATCTGATATGAATCCATTAGTAGTGGATCATAATCTCTTCTTTTTATTTAGATTAGATTTGATTCGATTAGATTTAGAATCGATTTTTTAGATTCATCCTGGCATTAAACTTGCAGACTTTATCTCGTTTGAAATATCAGTTATCTGATATGTAAATATTACGACTGTTGTTATTACCAGCATGATTCATGTTAGAAATAGTAGAAATATCGCCGAATTGACAGAATAGACTAGAGACCTCTTTCGGAGAATTCTTAGAACTCGTTTTTGATCATAGTTCTTGTTCGTTCTATTGATAACAGAACATTTAAATCTCACGCATACAATATATATGTGTGTAAAGACGTATATCACCGACGAAATACTATTAAAGATCGTCAACCCTGAGCAAATTTTCCCTGGGCGGTATAAAAAGACTCTAAGGAGGTAATTAAAGAACGCTAACATTATCAACAATTGATATAAATTTGCTATTATTAACATAAATATTTGGCACGTACATTATTAAATTCATCATTTTTTATTATATGAATGTTCCATAAATAAATATACATACTTGTAAAGCTATAATATTCTATATATTGCAGAAAAATTATGTTAATATTTTCTCTGCAGTAATCATCTCTGTTGATTAAACTTTGATAATACCGAAATCACAATTTTAAAGAAAAATCGTATATTATTTTTCAAATGCATAAATACGTCTACTAAACTAATAAATCATAAAATTAGTACAATATTATTAGTTTTTAACTCTTAATCACTTCATTCACAAGGATGCGAATTGCCGTAAGGATGTCGGTATATAATTCATCAAGCCTTTAGAGTGTGCGTTTATAATACATAATAATTTATATCAGTATAAAATATATAAACTGTTTTATTAGTCATCTATGGATCATCAAAGCCCATATATGATATATACGTGTATATGTATATAACATGTTAATACTATATAAATGCCACAATTAAAAGTATACACACACACACACACACCCACACACACACACACACACACACACACACACACACACATTTATACATTACATATATTTAATAGAAATAAAATCTTTTCCTCTATGTAAAAGTTTGATATATGTTTTAGATTCAAAATATAAATAAATGATAATTATTTTTTTATTATAACAAACATTATTCAATCATAGTTCTATATACACAAGTGTTATTTCACATTTGTACAATGCATGTTTTTATAATTAATATATAATTCAATTGATTAATCAATTTCGTGTTATTTGTAATAATACATTTTGATACAAAATTATAAAATGTAACTCAAAAGTATAAAGTATATCAAATAGTATAAGTATATTAAATTAATGATTTGTTGAATCAGCAAAACTCTTATTTATACATATTTTCGTCGTTATACAGATACGAATAAAATAAAGTAATGATAAAAATGTGCTTCATAAGAAAAATTACTTAACTTAATGCACGATTTGTTGTGGAATATGCTAAATTGAATTAAAAATTTTCATTTAGCAATTATAAAACAGGTAAGTTTATATTTACTAAATTATATGTATACATATAGTATTTATATATTTACATTTATTTTAATCAATCACCTAAAATATTTTTATGTCAGATCAATAAAATATTTATATTGATTAACATTAATAAAAACATACGATATTAATAATATAAAATTAATACAAATATAATATAATATAATATAATATTAATAAATATAATATAATAAATATAAATAAAAAGATATAATATTAAAAATAATATATTACCAATGTATGTACGAGTGTGGACAAAATTATATACTGTGACGGTCACTCAAAGATTTACGTTCAGGTTTCGGTCTAACGGTTTGATATGGCGGATTTAATACATATCCATAAACTACCTCTGAGTTAATCTAATTAATAGACGTCATTTAATTCAACTAAAAACAGTTAAGCTAACAATTTCATTAGAAACTATGATAATAAGAAAATTCATCGAAATTTTATAAGATTAATAGAATATGCATTTATATTTGCCTTTGATATCTATATATATTTAATTTATTTATATCGCAAAATATAGTTAATAATTGCTTTCCATTTTCATACAAGTGATACTAATCGAGTCTAAAATTATTTTATACTAAGATAATGATATGTTTACTTTGGTGATAAAGTTATCGCATACAGCACATCAGGTATATAATTTCACTTTTAATATAAGTTAACAAGACTCAGTGAAACACACGGTCTCAAATTTGTAGGTAAAAACTTAGTTGAAATCTCACTTCGATGAAAAGGAACTTCGTTCAACTGACTTATGACGATATATGGGAATTATCTAAATTTTGATGTAAATGAAAAGCAATTCGTCATACAAGAATCTCGGCTATGTGCCGAATAAGGAATTATTATTTAAAAAACATACGTATACCAACTAATTTCAAATATCTCATAATATTATTATAAACTTCTGCTATTGAGTACCGACAGATATCTTTTAGGCATTTTCTTATTACTTTTGAACTAGCCACTCAAATTGTTATCTTTAATCAATTAAATGCATTTTTTACGATTCGGTCTTGAGATCAAACTATGTTGATGAAAATTTGAAGTGTATTTTGGAGTATTTATTCCATGAGTGTAATAGAACATTTGAAGTGTATTTTAATTTCTTTTCTTTTTTCAGAATGATTATTTTGCTGTTAGAAATGGTCTAATATACTATTGCATCAATTGTATTGTTTTATATTAGGTCATTTAAAAAGTATCCGCGGTTTTTTGTTCAATTTTTGAATGAAAAAACCGTGGATACTTTTTAAATGACTCGATATATATATATATATATATATATATATGTGTGTGTGTGTGTATATGTATAAGTTATGTGTAAGCAAAATACAAAAACAGAAAAAAAAGAGAGTAG